TGCCTCGCTCACATAATCGCTCACCACTCCTTCCATCTCTGTTCGTATCTCCCTTTCTTGTCCTTGCCCTGTTCCTTCATCCACCACCGACAGATCCCTCAATCTCCGTCTGTCCTTTTCATCCCCTCCCCAACAGCTGCTTTAATCATGGACAGTATCAAACGCTCACACTGCCTCCTAACGAGCTGTTACTATAGAAACAGCTCCTGTTAACATTACTCCCACGCAGCAACCCATCCGCATCCTCTTAGAAAGTCCCATAAGCTGCTTTTTTTTGTGTATATCTTACCATTCCAGCTGTGGTGAGCTTTACCAAACACCTTGACAACTGTGACTTTAAGTCCAGAAAATTGTGAGTGAGCGCTGTCGTGGTTACTGTTAAACTGTAAGCTCCATGCACACCACAGGCCTGGGAAAATCACTGAGATACCATTCCTGTAATGGAAATTCTGTCAGATAAAGAGCTTTTCAGATAAAATGCTTCTCTTGCTGTGATGGTAAAGGTCAGTTGCCGTAAAGCAACATGATCTATGGGCTTTGTTTTTGCCCGTGGCTTCACCTTCAACCTATACAGTCCGCGGTTGGTTGTGGTTGTTGGGGCTGTTCGTGGCCTGATAAGAGCTGCAGACACCAAGAGTAACTTGACACCAAGTTTCAAATCAGTGTTTCTAGAATCTAATTTTCTTTAATCATTCAGGGTCCTCTGCCTTCAGCTGAACCCCTGCATCATAACATGAGGAAAAACCCTGAACAAACCATTTGTGTGGTTTAACGGATTGGTTTCTCATTTACAAACAACAGAGGATGCGTGAGCAGAAAACAACTTGCAACCTGCTAGAAAACAATATAGTTGATTTTTAAAGAGTAAATAAGTAAGGGAAACTCATCCTTCCTTTTTACGGTTTCTTACGGTATGCCTAATAATGACAGACAACTAACTAACTTGTGGTGGTGCCTTAAAGTTGGTGCCTTTTCTCTCGTATTGATTCTACATCAGCGTTTAGCATAAGTAAACAAACTCTGAATTCAATTTAAGACTGGTTTGAACATGGCGAGGCTGTTCCACTTTGCTTTTTGGTTCAACTCATTAAAGTGTCTCGGTCTCAGACACACAACAGAGCTGTGGGATTTGCTGCACGTCACAATAACCGTATGCAAGTGTCCTCACTGATTTCCCTTGCATACAACTGAAACACCGCTACCATTCTGGACTTTTGACTTCCATCCCAAATGCCAGACAGAACTACGGTGATTTTTTTACTTTTGTTTGATGCATTTTTAACTTTAAATGTGTATAGATAGGTTGTTACATAGATTCCATGGACTTTGCAAAGTAGATTACAAGTATACTTGTAAATAACTCCTCCAGCTTTAATAATTGTGGTTGCAATGTGTCAATAGTTGGTTCTTCCAGGACGCTGACATTCGTGGGTCTGTCCTTCCAGCGGATGTGAAGGAGTTATCAGAAGCATATTTGGTGATGTTTCAAGTTCTGAGATCTGCTATTGGTCGTCCAGGTCTCTACGTCGTATGCTACGTTAATAAAAGACTATGCAATAAACTATAGTATATAAATCTAGAGTTGAATTTTTTAAATTGTACTTCAATTTCTGGTTACCATTTTGATGTTTTAAGTTTTTCATTACTTATTTACCTCTTTGAGATTATGTTCTCTTATGTGGGATTTGGCTGCTATAACTCTGCCTTTTTCCTTTGCGATTAATGAAGTACTTTGAATTATCTTTATTTCAATCTACCAGGGTCGGAAGAACCAGTGTCTCTTGTATACCAGGAGCTTGGTTTCTTACCTGGATGGGCCAATCTTTAAAGACTCTTCTCATGGGTTTCTAAAAAAAACGTGTGCAGCTGATTCAGTATTTTATTTCTGAATCAATGTTGGTTTTGGAGGAGAGAAGGCTAGAGGTGGAGCTAGTGGAAGCAATACCCCTTCACAAACACAAACACACAAACACACACACGCACTCCTCACAAAGGTCGATCACACAAGCTTCGGTGGACATATCCCTGTCTCCCTGAATTCCTCTGTCTCAGGCAGTGACATGTTTATATACCCACTGAGCATAGAGCAGGGCAGAGGACAGATAATATAGAGCTACAGTGATGGATGTGTTCCTGTGCTCAGGCAGTCCCTGGCTCAACTCTGTCACACACACACACACATCCTGCATCAAATCTATGCACACCCATCACTTTATAGGCACACATCTGTCTTTCCTCCTCTCTCCTACACACACACACACACACACACACACACACACACACACACACACACACACACACACACACACACACACACACACACACGTACTGCAAATACATGGAATGATGTAGCTTCACACGCATACGCACACATAAATGAAAGACAGTGTGCATTCAAATCAAATGCACGAACACAAACATAAATTGGATGCGTCAGAGCACACACTGACAGCAACTAGTCGATGATTGTTTGTGCACAGATAAAAAAGGAAACTCAACGTGTCTTACAGAACGTCAAATCTTCAGTCAGTTTGTTTTAATCAGACTGCAGTTGTGTCCACCTGTGTCAATCAACCACTGTTTCCATGGAAACAAGTGGTACACTTCCTTAAAAGATGAAGGAACGAGGAGAGCGGGTAGTGAGAGAGGAAGAGATAATGAGGTGGGCAGACGGTGAAGAATAAGCAACAAAGAAAAGAAAAGTTAAGAGAGAGAAAAGAAAATAATGTTGAGGTAATGGGCAGCGCGGTGGGCTCAAAGTTTGGGATCCTCTGATCTTTTCCAGCATTTAGACACTTTTCAGGCTTTTTGTTCGGCACGTTGGAGACTTTCATTATATACCCAGCTGCAGGCCTAGGTCCCTCGGCACCTGCCACATGGTGAATGCATGTTTTGTTGATTAATAAATGTTGACTTCACAAATGTGATCCCTTCCCTTCAAACATCTCAAAAATATATATCTTTTCATTTACTCCTGGTGGTATCTAGTCCTGCATTTAGTTTTGGTTTTGTGTCACCAATTTTCTGTATATCTTTCACTACAATCCTGCTGTCCTAAAGAGATGTTGTTTTACAGAGAAAATAATTAAGAATTGTTAGCGGAGCGTATATGCATCCACTGTTTACGTTTACAATATGAACACGCGTGCGCGGCAGTGAACAACGGGGAACATTGCTTAATGAGCAACGGCATGTACCGAGAGAGAGAGCACGTTGTGTGTGTGGGTGTGTTCTAAATTACCTGCATGCTTGTTCCACATTTATTTATTTATTTTTATATAAATTGGACAGATTTCTCAGCAAGCTCGCCAAATTAAACACTTATCCGTCCCGCCCTGGTCCGTCCTCCTCCCGTCCTGCTGTCCTGTCCCGTTCTCATTGCATCTCTTTCTCAGTCTCTCGTCTGTCTTTCTTCCTCACTATCTGGTGTCTCTCCGTTGGCGTCTTTACATAGCTGACCTCAATATTAATGGCAGTGTGAGGCAGGAATATCTTGCCAGAAACAATATACCTCGACTGATAAAAAGCATCTGCTCTGTGCTGATAAAATGTTGGATTTGTTACAGATGCAGCCAGGATAGTTTCCATTGAAGAGTTGCTTTTTCATGTTGTTTGGGACATCAGATAAACCAGGTGTTGAATGGGTGTAAATATTTATTAAGGATGATGCACATACAGTGTTTCCATTGAAGGGCTTTTGCGGATTAATGCAGTAGAAATATTTTTCACTTTTTGCAAGCAAGGAGCCTCAAAACGCCATTTTTAAAAACACCATCCAAGTAACAAAAATAGATTTTCTACTTAAGGATGATTGAATAGGCCCAGTCAGAAATGTTAACAAGGTCAAAAGACGAGTCACAGAGGAACAATTTATGCCTCCGAGTTGTCTCGCTTGTCAGCGAAGCACAGAATTGGAAACGGCATCGGCATCATATCTCCCTGTTACCAAGACCTTCTATTTCCCATTTGTTGTTCTAGTTGTCTATTTCCCGCTTCGTCCTTGTCGTTCTGTTCTTCACAATTACAGCCATGCTCATAACTGCACAGAGTGCTGTCAATGCAAGCACCAACCCGAGCAGTTAATTCAAAACGCAACAGTGCACACGTACACACAAATACAGACTCACTACAATCACCACGAATTCTTACTCGTTCACAAAAACGGTGAGACATTTCCGAACCAAACAACCGTTCATTCATCCATTCACTAAGGAGAGAACTCAGTACTAAGGGACACAAAATTCTCAAGGACCTTTCTCTTTGGATTAAATTCAGCAGTATTTCTTCCTTCTGTGCCTCCGCTGTGTTGACACAGGACATAATGTACCAACGCACAGTCTGGGTCTTAATGCAAACGGCTAAGAAACTGGGAAGAACCTTGTCAGCAATTCATAAGCAAACCTCTAAAGGTGGACTTGAGGGACTAATGTCGATACTGTAAACACATGTGAACGTGTACTGCATATATTGTATATAACTCTTTTTCTTCTCCTATAAATCGCTCTCCTTCTGCCCAACCCTTTGTGTCTTTCAACATCCCACGATACGTTCTCCTCTGTAGGGGTCTCTGTTTCATCCTCCCCCCTGCAGGATTTCCATAATGAGGACGTGGATGGTCAGGTCTGCTCCTGCCTTGAATACCAAAGAGTGTAATGGCGTTCATGAGCTCATTGTTTCACATGTGTGAGAGCGAAAAAGAAATCTGGTACTGGAGACTAAGTGGCAGAGGGCGACTTGGAAACACTGGGCTCTGAAACAGCTTGTGAGCAGCTGTTAGTACTGGATCAATCACACCGTGCGGTAGTACATTTGAATTTTGGGGGGGAAAAAAATCAAAGCAGTCCTAAAATTTTAAATGACATCGGTCTGAATTCTTTGATAGAAATTTCAAATGAATCAACCGCACCGCGTTAGGTGGGACGACCAGGACAATGAGCTAAAAGTGGATGTTGGATTAAAGCGAGTTGGATGTGAAATTGGGGAGAAATGGTTGGACTCACCGCCATGAACGTAGTGGTGCAGCGTGCAGTCAGAGGGGCCCACCAAATGGATCAGACTGGACTGGCTGAAGCCAACAGTGTGTTGTTCTGCAATGCAAAAGCACACACAATAAAAGAAATGTGAAAAATTGCAGTTTTTGTATTGAAAAACGCTTGCTGGCACCAAACCAACACAGACATAAACTACATGCTTCTGTGTGCTTCCCCGCCAAAGTTATTGTACTGATATGATGCTGGTGGAGCAAGTTAGCTTACCCTTTGCTGGATCCTCTGCGTTTGAATGAACATGACAAATTTACAGAATTAGTAATCAATCTTACCATCACGATGATGAAATACAAAATTTTAAAAAGTTCTTTCTTGAGTTTCGAAGATATGTATTGTAATGTTTAGCGGAGGGCACAAGTTAGCAACAGTGCACAATAGTACATTAAACACTGAAAGTACACAAGGGATTCTTCACTCTACAGTCAGTTGACACTGTTTTACCTCAGTACTCAACAATAACACTGTAACACATTATCAATCTGAACAAATCTCAGTTATCTGACAGTTCAAACTAAATATTCAGACATACTAAAGAATGATCAAAGCCTTGAATAAAAGGTCTTATGCTGAAGAAAGTATTTGCTTTTGACTTCATGATCACAGCACGGAGAACACTGTGTCCTGTATTATGTATATACCTGAATGTTCTCTTGTTACTACAACCAATACACCTCCTTAAATTCCTGCAAATTGATAGTACAACAAAAAAATGGATATTAATTCAGGCTCAAATAGGCCTGTGCAGTACCTCTGTGTTAAGTAGAGCTGTTACAGAATTTGCAGGTTTGCACCATGACACTTTTGTTGAGGGCATTAGCATCAATCGTAACAGACACAAATTCCACCTGATATTTGCAACTTTCTTTCGAGAGCAGGAACATTTTGCACAGCGCAGATTTCTGTTGTAAGTTCACTGCTTTCACAGGATTCGATTGGAGGCCTTTAGTGCAGGATGTTACCTGGGTTGGGTGGAAGTGGTACCACCTCTTCAGTCCTCGCTTTGGTCTCCACTCGCTCCAGCTTCTGAGAGTCGTAGCGGTTTCTGCCCTGCTCCTCTTGTTCTTCACTGGTATACTACAGACAGAGCACACGGCATACAGTATGAGCATGAGCAAAGGTGGGCTCACCCGTTGAATTACCCGTTTCTGCATGGCCGCATGCAGAACAAGAAAAGTTTATCACATTGACATACAAGACGCAAGACGAGCAAAATGGAATTTCCACAGTTTGTATTATGAAGTGAGGGTCAGACAGAGAGAAGCTAACAGGTAAAATGCCAAGTTTCCATGTACCTTGATGGGCGGCACATCCATGACCTTGTTGACATTCAGCAGCGAGCAGGGGACGTACCACAGCGCTGCCTTGTTGGCCAACTTTTTGGCACCTGCAGTCACAAAAAAAAAGTTGAATTATTGCACAGAGGAAAATGTCAGCAAGGAATTTTACAGCTTTCTTCCACCAAACAAAGAGAGTTTTATGACTGTCAACCAATAAGCAACAAGTGTTGACATTTCTTTAAAATAAAACAACAATGGCGCAAACAAGTTTGAAATAGCCGTTGTCAAAACAGACACATTCATTAATACCCCAATAAAAGCCGATCCACTTTTTAACAAATCCAGTGGCGCTGCCTGAACATTAGGCTGTCTTCTGCAGACAAAACAGCGGAACACAAATGAGGACTTTGTTCAAAGACGATCATTCAGAACACAACCTCGCATTGACTCAACGCAGTCCCTCGGTTAGTGCAAGGTTTAGCATAATCCCTAAATCCTGAACTCTGCATTTTCATGTTGTGATTATAAAATGGATGAAATACAATGGCAACTCACTCATTAAATGCTTTGTACAAATATTCTTCTTTGGCAGTTGACACAATAATGTGTCACAATAATGTGTCAACTGCCAAAACCGAGAGACGCTCGTAGCATTTCTTTGAAGAGGCTTTCATGGACAACGTTTTTCAATATCTTGGTGACATCATAAGAAAGTGTCAACTGAAAAAAATTTATTTCAGTCCTGCAAAAAATGACCCCGTTCTTTACCCAAACCTCAGTTGGACTGACAAACACATGTTGAATAAAACTGTTAATGCTCATTATAGAAGTATTTTTTCTGATTTGAGTAGTTTAACTGTTTAGATATTTAAAGTATTACATGTTATATTTTGTCTTGAATATCTTGGAAAGTTGACGTACCGTTAACAGTTTATCCCTCTTGTGAATCCCTAAATAAAATCAACTTCATCATCATTGAGAGACGTAGATGTTCGCATCAACACAAGAACAGATATATGGTCTAATATTTCCATATGCCTCCATATCGTACATGAAATGTTTTGGTGGTTGGAGGCATTAGCTCTGCCTTCCCACAGAAAGTTAAGTCAGAAGAACAGAAGACAAAAGTTGTAGAAATAACATCTCACAGCAATCAGGCGGAGAGGTTGCCATAGCGATATCTGTTCTATTCTGCTTACGCTTTTTCTCTTAATTTGCTGAGAGAGAGAGAGAGAGAGAGAGACAGAGAGAGAGAGAGAGAGAGAGAGAGAGAGAGAGAGAGAGAGAGAGAGAGAGAGAGAGAGAGAGAGAGAGAGAGAGAGAGAGAGAGAGAGAGAGAGAGAGAGAGAGAGAGAGAGAGAGAGAGA